GTGGTAAAGACCCATTTATCTGGCTGGGAAAGCCTGTCCCTGGCATTTCCAACTAGGATTGGGAAACGCTTCTGTCTGAAACCTTGAAGGGCCAAAACCAGTCATTGTGTCGAGATGGGCTAATGGATCTGAACTAAGGCAGCTTTCTATGTTCTCGCCATGTATTTTCTTGCCCAGCCTTTCCCATAAATTGCATCACACTGAACAACACACACTCACACACTGCCTTGAGTACCTTAAGAGGAAGGCGATCTACACATTTTGAAAACCAGCAAACACTGCCTCTCGCACACCAGCCCGTCTCTGAGCACGGGTGGCATAAACAGAGGAGCTGCGCTTGCTCATTCACTGAAATGGCTCTCTGCTGGAGTCATCAGCGAATGCCTGGCTCAATTTGCTCTTTGTCCTCCAGGCACGTCTGGCCTTGGTGCTGTTTTTGCTTCCTGCTCTCCACATATGGCACCACTAATGATGATAGAGTTTGGGCAGAAGAATGTGATTGTTCAATGTCCAGGAGATGGACTGGGGTTGAAGAATCTGTGTTTATTTCTGTGATCAGAAACTGATTGCAGTCAACCACTGACCAAGCATTAACTCACTACTGTGTACTGACTGCTTGTGAAAAGGAACCCTCCTTATCTTCCTTGTTGCATGTACATTCTGACAAGCTCCCATCTGATAAAACAGCAGCTGTACTCTTCCGAGACAGGGTCCAGAGGCTGCGCATTGCAGTAGAGGATGGAGTCAGTGTGTTCACCCTTTTGCCTCTCCCCTGCTCCATGCCCCCACTGGCCTCATATACATGGACGGGCCCTGTATTGGGGTTCTGTGTGATTTTGGGGCCAGTAGCCACATGGCCACGTGACCCGGAAGTGTCTCTGGACAGCGCTGGCCCTCGGCCTCTTGAGTGAGATGGGCGCACAACCCTAGAGTCTGTCAAGACTGGCCCATACGGGCAGGGGTACCTTTACCTTTACCTTTAGCCACATGGCAGCAGCAACCCCTTCTTTTGACTAGCTCACAGAAGCAGCCAGGGGCTGCCACCACTGTTGCTGCACATTGATTGACTGGTTAGTCACATGATCCAGTACAGGGAAGGGCTTCTACACCACTAAGGGTTATGTTGCAAAGGGAATTCTCACGTGTGGCTGGGCATATCCTTGGTCCAGATAAGCTGTGACTGTTGAACACTCTTCTTTTATACAACGGCGCTGTGGGTTAAACCACAGAGCCTAGGACTTGCCGATCAGAAGGTCAGCGGTTCAAATCCCCGCAACAGGGTGAGCTTCCGTTTCTCGGTCCCTGCTCCTGCCAACCTAGCAGTTCGAAAGCACCTCAAAGTGCAAGTAGATAAATAGGTACCGCTCCAGCGGGAAGGTAAACAGCGCTTCCTTGCGCTGCTCTGGTTTGCCAGAAGCGGCTTAGTCATGCTGGCCACATGACCCAGAAGCTGTATGCCGGCTCCCTCGGCCAATAAAGCGAGATGAGCGCTGCAACCCCAGAGTCGGCCACGACTGGACCTAATGGTCAGGGGTCGCTTTACCTTTACCTTTATGGGCACCCTGTCCTCTCTTCCTTCCACTTGTCCTTTTAGAGAGAGAAGGCTCACTTCCACTGTTGGCCCATCCATGAGGCAGATTGAGGCAGCTGCCTCGGGTGGCGGAATCCTTGGGGCACTTCTGAGGGAGCTCCGCGCCACTGCCAGAGAAGCGAGCGGGAGCAGCTGCAGCAGCTTCAGGGTTCCTGTGAGATCTTGGTAAGGCAGCAAAACACCTCAGTAAGGCTTGATCTCTTCACTAAGGGCCCGTCTGACAAAACCTTTTTCTATGTAGAGGTTCACATGTGCAGCAATATGAATGTGAAACGCAAGGGATGAAAAGAGCGCGATTTTCCAGGAAGAAAATGTAAGCAGGGACAGGCAGGAAGCTAGCATGTCCTTCTTACACAATCTAAATGGATTTTCCCACCCGCCCAGCTCCCACTCTCCGCAATCCAACCGTGTGCATTTCCCTGTTGAGGGAAAATCTATTAGAATCAATCCTTTGAAAGCACTTAGTGCATGTCCCTTTTACGTGTTACAGACCTCACCACAAGAGCCACTACGGGGTCATATCCTGCTTGTGTGTTTCCCATAAGCATCTGGTTGGACACTGCATCGTAGCCATATGTTGCACTGAACATTGCTGTAATCCAGCAGGACTTATGTCCTTATGTTCCATAAGGTCACTCCATGGCATGGCTCTAGCCTGGAATGACACAGGCCTGGCCCATCCCGTTGTCTTTCCCCTAGAATGATTACCCTCCCTGTAGGCAGGTTGCCAATACTCTGGGAAAGACACATACAGATGTCCCTTTCCTCATGGCTGGAGCCAGGCTATAGGATGGATCCATGTGGCTCCCATAGCAGGGTTGCTAAGGGCAGAGGGACCCATAAGTGCTGGCCTCCTGGCCAAATAGTCCCGGGGACAGGAAAAAGCACAGGTGCAAAGGAGAAGCTGCCAGTTTTTCTTTGCAATTTGCACTGAATTCTACTCTGGAGAATCCCTGACCTTCAAGAGCAACTTTATAGGGTAGGTGATGGGCTGCCTTGGGAAACAGTGACATAAAAGAGGGACAATGTGTATGGAACTCTGCGCATGGGCCTTTGGATCCTAGCCAATGTCTTCTTGGCAATACCCAAAAAAATATGCAACTCTTCATTGTCTTCTCCAGGCCATCCTCAAAACTTGACACCACAGTACTCAATTCTTAGGTTATACATGCAAGTATTTTACACCAGTTCATGGCAAAATAGAGTTAAGATCATATTAGAGGCAGGCTTGAAATAATCGTGTTTAGACTCGGTTTGGTTTGTGCACTAAGTTTTTACTAAGAAAATACTACTACTACTAAGCTAATATCCCTTTGCCATTGGTGTCTTGGTATACAGTAATGTTCTGTTTCACTTCCTGTGCAATTGCAATGCAGAGGTACAATCTGATGATGAAATTACTACCACTCTGCCGGTGGATGAAGACATTTATTTGCACGGAACTATGCGCCCTTCTGGAATATCCTGCTTGATCTTTTGAGGGACCAGTCTTTTTGTAAGTGTATCCATTTGCCTTTAAGAGATTGAAAGCCTCTGCCTTCAAATTACTCATGGGGGAATCGGAAAGGAAAATAAAATAAAATGTGAAATGCCTATTGCCCAAAGCTCAGCCAGCAGACTATGTTTGCAAAGTGTCAAGTCCCATATCCAAGCCACCACCAAAAGGCAGCCCAATTAACAAAGAAAATGAAAAAACACATTTCAATCATGCTAGTTTTGAAAGAAAGAGGGAAGTTGTACTTTTTGGGCGGTTTTGAGAATTCAAGGGGGGGGCAGGTACTTTTTAAGTGTGCTGTCTTTTGCACTTGGGTGTTCATCCTGACACTATCTAAAGAAGGACAGCACTATTGTGACACATACTGCATAGACACACACACACCCCAGCAGGGTTCTGGCTACAGCATCACTTTGCAAGATGATGCCATTGAATTGAATACAACAAGGTCCTTTTGAATTTGCTTTGCTCCCTAAGTATGGGCAGAATTGCACCAGTGATTATTACAGAGTGGATTGTCGTGAAATTATGCTATTGACCAAGACATGTAATCATATCTGACCATGAGGGTTAGTCTAACTCTTGCACAGAATGTTTTAGACAACCACAGATGTATATATAACCAGCAGAGAGATTGAAAAATAAAGGTTTGGGGTTGTTGTTTTTGTAGAGCTAGTCTGTTTGGAACTGCTACACAACAGCTGTCATCGGGCTTGACTGCATTTCTTCACAAAACAGACTTCCTGGAACAGATCCTCACAGTGATATATATTCATTTCTGGTCCAAGGCAAGCACAACACGTTCAGAATAATTTCTTATAAAACGTGATATCACCCGGTTTAAGAAAACGACAACAACCCAACAACTTGCAGAAAGAAAGCTTCAAGTTTTAAGCTGGGATTCTTGGGCGGAGTGGGGAGGGGGGCTGAGATTACTTTTCCCGATATATTCCCCTCATGCCCAGCATCTCTCCCTAGTGAAATCACAGTCTGCTTTGTTAAGATGATGAGAGAGAAAATATTCTGTTCTGAACATCTGGACAGATGCAGCTTAACATGCTAACACTCTGTGTAGGCTTGATCAGAAAAGGAATAAAGCAAATACTCTGTTGCCATTAAACAGATTTACAGCACAATCCCATGCATGCCTACTCAGAAGTAACCCCTACTGAGTTCAGTGGGACTTACAGCTAAATGTGTCTAGGGTTGCAGAATTAAAGTTTCTAATAATAATTTCATTGCCACACACACACACATAGAAACAAGAGATCCAGATAAATACATATATATGCATTTCAAACCTTCCAGAACCATTGAATAACACTTTTATTTGCCTACCTCACCTTTCCCCTGTCATGCTGCTACGACTAGCTGTACCTCCAATACGGCAAAAACCTTGCCCATTCCAAAAGTTCAAATAAATAAACGCATGCTGAATCACAAGCATTTAACAAAAATAGACATGAGTTTCCTGCCGTTAAAAAGTGAATTTCAACTGTGTTTTCCGAGTTCCTCCACATTTGTTCAAGCTGCTTTTGGGAGAGGGAGGGAGGAATGCACAAACAAACACAGAGGTAAACAGAACTGGGTATAGGCTTAGTTTTAATATGACAGAGGTGTGGCTATTTATTTTTTTTTATGCCCACTTGCATGTTAAAACATCGTTGCCTTTGTGCTGACATAAATGGCATTTCTTCACTGTAACATGCAATTTCAGCATATTCAGAGAAAAGACCGTGGGTTTCTTTTACCCCTGTAAGTGGCTGGAAGTTGGTGGATATGCAGTAAGCAGGTGTGGTTTGTCCTTGGACTGGACTAAAAAGTATGTGGAAAAGAACAGATGTCTAAATCATTGCCATAAAAACAAGAGAGAGAGAGAGAGTAGGGAAAGACAAAAGATATAGTGTTACTTACAGTCCTCTGAGGCGAAGCCATATCTTCTCTATTTGTTCCGGTTGCAGGTATTTCAAAGAGTTGCTCTCAAATTCTTCAATTTCCTTCGTTGGAGACTCCATAGCTCTAGGTTTTCACTTTGGTCAAAGCTCAGAGAGAATGGATGCTTCCCCCGAAACATGCACACGCTCCAATTTCCTTTTTCTTTTTCTTTTTTGGTTAACACTGACCAGGAGCAGCAACCATATTTCCCCCCTGCCTCCAAATGCTCCCCCCTCTGCCACGCACAACCCTGGCTTCCACGCTAGGAGCAAAAAATTTCAGGTGTGCTCCGGGGGGCAGCTGCGGTGGCATGCCATGTTCCTCAGAGTGATGGAAGGGATCAGAGGCTGATCTCCAGATTGAAGGCAACCCACAGATTTTTATTTTTTATTTTTACACAATAAGCCAAGGATACAATCAGTAATACCAGCTGAAGGATCTTTATCAGGGGCGAGGGAGGGGGTGGGGGAAGCCTTGCGGACAATTAAGCTGTCTGAATGGGAGGCCTTATAGTACTGGCAGATGTACAGCTCCCAGTTATCCGCCTTGCCATTCGCTGGACTCACTCTGCGTCTCCCCTCTGTGCTATGAAAGGCAGCCCTCATTCCTTGCAGTGCCGAATTTCTCTCTCTCTCTCCTTCTCTCTCACACCCACCCACAAATGCCCTCCCCTTCTCGGGTTCTTCCACTTACCAGCCACTTTACTGACAGGCAAGGGAACCAGCAACTGAGGAAAAGTCATCTGTCAGCAGAAGCCTGACCAACGTCTGTGTCTCTTTCTCTCTCTGTCTCTTTCTCTCATTCTTTCCCTCTTCATACACAAAAGCACACCAAACTAGAGTAGTACAGAGGGGGTGGGGGGAAAGGCCTGCTTCAATTAATGTGGAACAGAGTCAAGCAATTGCACTAATGCACCTCCAAGAGAATCTGCCTGAGTGCAGGCAGCCTGCCTAAGCGAGTGAGCAATCGTGGATGAGAGACGACGCCACTGTGTAAAACTGTTTTAGATCTAGAGGCATCCTTTTAGAGAAAAGGGTAAAATCAACTAGTGACCAAGTAACTGCGAAACGGACAGCTAATTACCAACAAATGAACCATTCCTAAACAAGCATTGGCAAAAGGTGGGAACAGCTGACCAATGAGAAAACTTGCTTCATCTCCAGTCGCTGAAAGTAACCACGGACCGATCAGTTTAGCTACAAAGACATTGATTTGGAGTAAAGGCTTCCGTTGAATGAAGCAAGTGACTTTCTGAAGCAGCACTTTTCCTCCAGGTTAAAATTTTCAAAGCATGTTCCATAGGATTCCTTTACTAAAAGATGCCCAAATCTTAAGCATTATTATTAAAAACTGTTTACATTGTTTTCCTCTGAACTTGTGTGTTGAGAATAACATTGTATGCATCTGATGAAATGGACTTGTCTATGAAAGCTTTTGTAATAATCTGGTCTTTAAGATGAGGCAAGATTCTTCATTGATTTTGCTGCAACAGACTCACACAAGTCTATAACCCTGGTCAAAAAAAGTGTTATTACTGAGGCATTTCAGTCTATTTGTAAAGTTTATTCACAGTACCCTACCACCAAGACAAAGTCTTTTTCCAATGGACCGGGGTCAATTCTCACTTGACATTCTGTACTCAGATATAGATTCTCAAGTGCGGCTTTGTAAACAGCTTTGAGGTTTCATCACAATCAAGAGGTATAAAAAGTATGAAACACACACACGTTTATTTTTCACCCTGCCCCACTTTAAAATGCAACCATGAGTAGAGGCTCAGATCAGGCTTTTGCTCACAAGCATGTGAAACTGGAGTGCAACAAAACTATTCACACATGCTCTTCATTAGAGATGTCAGAGTCTTTCATCAGAAATGAGAGCAGAAATTTTCGCAAGTCGCATTTTGGTCTGAGGTGAGGGACAGAAATCGCACGAGCATATCTGAGTGGTGCTTGCTATCATTTTAGTCTGCAAGTGTTAGAGTAAATAGTTGCATTATTTTCTGCACTGTTTTTGGCATTTCCTTTCATTGAGGTGTATTTACCGTAAATCAGAGAGAGTTCTTATCTCTCCTGCATCAAAGGAGCGTCATATTTAACTCTTACCACCAGGTTGCAACTCAATGAAAGAGCCAAGAGGAGGGCAATGTTTTCCCATGGTGAGCGCTTGAATGGATGGCACAGCATTGCTGTTCTCTGGCTTCCCAGTGCCACATGTCACTGCTGGTTACCTGGAAGGGGAGGGTTGAGGCAAGCAACGAGAGCAGCGGATTGGCTCCACTTATGTGCCTGCACCATGTCAGGATTCCCGCTCGGCTCTCCTTCTCAACAACCAGCAGCAATGGACCCTGCAAGCATTGCCCTGCTGGCCATTCCTGATTTAACCCCTGGAAAGCATGGAGAAGGAAGGAAGGAAGGAAGGAAGGAAGGAAGGAAGGAAGGAAGGAAGGAAGGAAGGAAGGGGAAGGAAGTCCCAAGACAATTGCTCAAGGAGTGCAGCTCCATGGAACTCCCATGTTGTGTGTGTGTGTGTGTGTGTGTGTGTGTGTGTGTGTGTGCTTGCCTGCCAATACAACTTTCTTCATGGAATCCCTGGAACTGGAAATGCTGTTTGTGAAAAGGTGTCTCAGAAGATCCCTGCTTCAGCGCTTGGCTCAGGGGTACCCAATGTGATGATCTCCAGATATTGGCACTACAATTCCCAGCTTCCATGTTGGCTCCCCCTGTGCATTGCAAAGAGATCTGGGGTATTTCTTTCAGAAGGGCTGAAGTCACTTTATTACTTCTTTTAATTAGATTGCAAGCTTTGGGTACAGGGCCCTGTGGGTTAAAAGCAAAAGGATTCCTGTACAGCACCCAGTTACTATAGACATTTATTCATTATCATTCTTCCATCTTTACCCCTTTGGCTCATGCCTCGCTCAGCTCAATCACCTAGTTCCCTCCACCTTTGAGACGAGGCAGTTGAGAATGAAAAAAGGAACATTTCATTCTGTCAAGGTCATTGTTTCATAAATTGCGGCACATTTTCCAGTGCTGAGACCTAGCAGCCCACCTAGTGCTCCTCCTCCTTGGAAAAGACCACCTTGTATTGAAAAGAATAAAATAAAAATGCTAATCTGGTCTTAAAATCAGAAAGGGGTGGGTCGGAATGGGCACTGTAATGGCAAAAGTACTGCAAGCACTAAGTGTGTGAAGCATTCACGAAAACCAGCTCTCAGGGACAGAAATTTATCATCAGGAGAAAAAATCCCAATCAATGGAAAGGAAGATTGGGAACACAGAACAGATTCAGTCCTGTTTGTATTCTGGGTTATGAGTGATCATAATATCTAAATACAACCAAGTATGTAATATTAAAATGTATTGATACCCTTCCCACAATACAAGATTAAAAAAAAGTTAAATCAATACAATTTACGCGATCAAGTACAAAAAAACCTCCCCTTTACAGTTAACCATTTTTTTCCTGCAGTAATTCATAACAGTTTTTAGATTCACAGGCAGCGAAGCCAGCCACCCATTTAGTGATGTAATTTTCAGGATCTACTAAAAGACACTTTCCTTTTGATGATGCATTCCGGTCTGCAGTTCAAACATTGGGTTTCAGAGATCAGAGATCATCAAAGTGCTGTTAGAGGAGGCATATTAACAGATATGATCTTCCGCATCCCAGATCTACAAATACATAGCCTATTCCCATAACCAGACAAAATATACCATGTCTATTTTTAGAGCAAGTCCTGCACAACTTGAATCAATAATCTGAATTCGTTCTGTGATGATGCACAAACAGACTACAGTATCTTTGTTCTGGCTCATACATTCTCTTAAGTGATACAGTTGTCTCTTCCCTGTGGTTAAATGCACACTGTCCTAATAACATTTGGACGACTGAATGACATGGGATTGCTGAGGTTGTACGGTACCATTCATGCCATTAGCCATGGACCAGATTGGGGGTGCTGCTGCCCCCATGGGCTTGAACCTAGCGACACATGTGAGTCAATCATCCAAATGGTAGCAAAGTTCCACGATACTGAGTCACAGGAAAGTCATAGCGACACCACACTATGCTAGTAGCAAATGAGGTAAAGGTAAAGGTAAAGGGACCCCTGACCATTAGGTCCAGTCGTGACCGACTCTGGGGTTGCGGTGCTCATCTCGCTTTACTGGCTGAGGGAGCCGGCGTACAGCTTCCGGGTCATGTGGCCAGCATGACTAAGCCGTTTCTGGCAAACCAGAGCAGCACACGGAAATGCCGTTTACCTTCCCGCCGGAGCGGTACCTATTTATCTACTTGCACTTTGACATGCTTTCGAATTGCTAGGTTGGCAGGAGCAGGGACCGAGCAACGGGAGCTCACTCCGTCGCGGGGATTCGAACCGCTGACCTTCTGATCGGCAAGTCCTAGGCTCTGTGGTTTAACCCACAGCGCCACCCATGTCCTGGATATGAGTTAGCCATAGCCATATCCAAATCCAATTGATTTAGGGCTTTCCTGGCCAAAACAAGCAGCCTAAATTATGTCCACAGGGTTCTACGAATGCAATGTGAACCATGGAGCAAGAGGCTCCAACAACTAACCTCTGTTCTACTAGCAGCAGCTCAAAATTCAGGAAAAACTGAACATCATTACCTCCATGTGGGCAAATGTGATGAATGAGAAGACCATCATTAATCAAGACAATATTAAGCTATAGCCTTTCATATAAAACACAGGGAACACTCCGAAAACTGGGTATGCTGCAGACTATAACTATATCCCTACATTTTAGCTGAAGGATTTAGTTCAAAGCTATGGAATTTGCTTTAAAGCATTTGGGTTAATTTTAAAGCCACCCCTTTCTCAAGGTTTTTCCAAATTGCCTTTCAGAAGCACTTAAGTCTAAAACAAATCACTGGGCATCTTTCTGAAGCCTGAGCAACTGAATGTATGGATTTTGGCCATAAGACTGTTGGGAAAAGGTTGATTTTCTATTCAAAATATACTGTCAATATTCTACATGCAACAAGACTGAATTGAGTTTTTCATCTAATGTCATCACAACATCCCCCCCCCAAGCAATTAATGAAAGAAATACAGCTTTCTCTCGATGGTTAAGATGTCTGTGCATCAGTCCATGAGGAGAAAACAGTTGCATTTCATTTGAATGTTGGGATTCATTCAAATGAGTGCGAATGAAAATTGCCTTTTGGCTAATATAGAGGTTGAGTTCAAAAAACCAAGCGGGGCAGTTTTAAATGGGTAAGGCAGAAACAGAGTGAGCTCCTGACCTTATGGATTTTGCCCTTGATAAAATTCCCTCTTGATAAAATTCCCTTTTCCATCAGGGCAACCATGGTGGGCTTCAATAGTAGAGGTAGCAAGCAAAATGGCCTCGGTCCAGTATACCTGAAGGAGCGTCTCCACCCCCATCGTTCTGCCCGGACACTGAGGTCCAGCGCCGAGGGCCTTCTGGTGGTTCCCTCACTGTGAGAAGCAAAGCTACAGGGAACCAGGCAGAGGGCCTTCTCGGTAGTGGCACCCGCCCTGTGGAACGCCCTCCCACCAGATGTCAAAGAGATAAACAACTACCTGACATTTAGAAAACATCTGAAGGCAGCCCTGTTCAGGGAAGTTTTTAATGTGTGACATTTTAATGTATTTTAATCTTTGTTGGAAGCCACCCAGAGTGGCTGGGGAAACCCAGCCAGATGGGTGGGGTACAAAATAATAATAATAATAATAATAATAATAATAATAATAATTATAATTATTATTCAAAAGAATCATTTGAGGCTGAATCTAGCTGACATTTTAAGTTTCACAACATCCACTAGGGAGACACAAACAGGTGCA